CCTTATCAACGGGCAACATGAATCCGGAAGCGGGGCGACATGCACAAAGGACAAAAAATATGGCGGTGTATCTTTCCATGTTCTGGAGGAAGATTCATTCATGCATTGGGTGGTGGAGAGCGAAGGGCCGATGAATCAGGTAAGCACGTAACGTATCTCTGGAACCTTTCTTTTTTTTTTCTTGGAGAATCTCTGAACAAATGAGACTGAATCCTCCGCTTGAACATGAAAAGATACATTGCCATATATGTCTTGTTGTGCATGTCGAGAGTAGCGCAGCGAGCCCGTTGGTGAACATTACCGTTGAGGTTCTGTTCTGACAGGTTGGACGCGTCAGGCTTCACTCGTGCAAAGAAATTCTGATGTTCTTCCTTTACGTTTTTTTCTTTTTATTAAAAAAAAAAAATTCCAGTAAAAACAACTGTCAGTTCCGTCGTTTTCTACTTCAGAAGTAATAAGAAGAGAACGTTTTGAGAGATCGCGACCCTCATCAAGACTGAATCTGGCCTGCAAGAACCCTACCATACAGACTGCAATTACCGTTGAGGTTCTGACAGGTTGGACGTGCCGGGCGACACTCGTGCAAAGAAATTCTAATTTTCTTCCTTTACGTTTTTTTTTTTTAATTAAAAAAATAAAACATTCCAGGAAAAACGGCTGTCAGTTTCGTCATTTTCTACTTCAGAAGTAATAAGAAGAGAACGTTTTGAGAGATCGCGACCCTCATCATGCCTGAATCTGGCGTGCAAGAACCCTACCATACAGACTGCAATAACCCTACCATACACACAGAGTGTTACCCGAACTACAGGTTACTAAAAGCTTTCAGGCCAACGCGCGGCCTCCAAAAAAAATTTGGCTGCCCGTTTCTTATTTTACGCGAGCAGGGGGCCGGGTCTACTACCGCCCCTCACAACTTTTTTTTTTTTGACCTCCATTTTTGGAGGTGCGCCGCATGCAGTGCGCGCGCGTCGTGCGGGATGCACGGTGCGGCGCACGTGCGCAGTGCAGCGCATCGCGATGCGCCGCAAGTATGGCACGTACCTATATGCACAATTGATTCCGTATTGGGACCGTGTTTTGATGGCGAGCTCGTGTCTTTATGGGGATGCCGCCAATTTTGTCATCTCCTTGATGAAGGAGGCAGATTGTGCCTCCATGGTGGAATACTCTAAGCGCACGCATATAGAGGATTTCTTCAAGGCCCCGAAGGAGAGGTTCGAAGACAAGAACCTGGCCCGACGCACTGAACACTTGATCCTTAACATGAGTAACCGAAAATAAAAGAGTGTCGCTGCACTGAAAGCCACCATGGAAATAAAAGAGTGTCACTGCGTTGAAAGTCACCATGGATGAGCTGTTGCAATGTCCCGATCACGGTCTAACCCCCACTCACATTCTGAATAGCTTCCCAAGAGCGATGCCTGATCCCCCAAGGACCACTCGCTACCCCCGTACGAAAGAGGACGGCATGACTTACGAGAAATTAAATAAGATTGCTGTAGATCAGGCTGGCTTCCTGATGGAGGCCTATTACTGTCATTACTGGAAGGACATACAAAAAGAAGGGCGATGGAAGAATAAAACTATAGCAGGTAGTATAGAAGGGAACGACAGTCTTCTAGTCACGTTTAAGGGAGGGGGAGTTGAAGCACTACCCTACGAAAACATAGATTACGGACTCGATGAGCCCATCAGCAACCAAGTAGCCCAAGGAGGGGACTATTCGGCTGCTTCAGTCCCCGGGGGAGGGCGACACGGAGGAAGAGGATGCCGAGGAAAAGGTGGAGGATGAGGACGTGGCACCCAGGGGAATAGCACAGAAGGTAGCTATTATGCGGGAGATAAGGGTTATGGTTCCCCGCAAGGTGGACGCGGTTCCTCCTCCACACGTGGAAGAGGTAGAAGGCGCAGACCATGGCCAGCACATCCAGGGATTGCAGACGGAGAGCCATCATCCATGGAAAGAGATGGGCATCGAGAAAACGTTGTGGGAGCAAAGGCTTAAAGCTGACCATTGCCTGAAATGTGGTGATCCCAACCACATTGTCAGCTTTTGCCCTGACTACCGCTACCCAAAAGGGAGCAGCTAGTAGGAGTCGCAGTTGCTCCCGTTGGGCCTTCCGACATAGACAGACAGACAGAAGCACGTGCTGACAAGGCACCCTCCTATCTGAAGGCCCCTATGGCAAAGACCAGCGTAGGCCCTGTCTCTTATACACATCTAGATGTGTATAAGAGACAGGCTTAAAGCTGACCATTGCCTGAAATGTGGTGATCCCAACCACATTGTCAGCTTTTGCCCTGACTACCGCTACCCAAAAGGGAGCAGCTAGTAGGAGTCGCAGTTGCTCCCGTTGGGCCTTCCGACATAGACAGACAGACAGAAGCACGTGCTGACAAGGCACCCTCCTATCTGAAGGCCCCTATGGCAAAGACCAGCGTAGGCCCCAACCCAGTTAGCTGTCCAGAGACCACTTCTGCTAGGGTCTCTCTTGGTGATTCCCCCGCAAGCATCGGTGAGGAGTTGATCACTCGTCGCCAAGCTTGGGCCGAAATGAAGAAGAAGTGTAAGGGGCAGTTAATATTAGCAGATATAGAGATAAGTAGGGAGGGAGTAGGCGCGTTAGTTGATAGTGGATCTACGCGTAGCTACATTAGATGAAGGGGATTGTAGAAGATGCACCTCGGCATGAAGGTCATGAAGTTGGATGAGTCGGTCGGGAGCAGGGTGGCAAACAATCGCGAAATGAGGGTAGAAGAGTACGTCGAAGGGGTCAGGGCATACTTTTGGTTGGAAGGGGGAAACAAGGTAGAGAAAGTTGGGCGAGCATGAATGCTGGCTGCCCAGCCCTTACGGAGGCAAAAAGAAAATGCAGTTGTTTCATGAGTCAAGAGTAGAGTCTAGTTTGTCCCTTTGCTGTATGAGTGCCCTGCGTTAGCCAGACACGTTGTCAAAGGCGGATTTGGTTGACCAAGTCTTCGTAGCGTACGTCAGACCGGTTGCT